AAACGATATGGGAAGATTATGTCATCATGTCAGGACTCAATATGCACCCACAGCGTATACAACTACCATATTTACACCATTGCCATGCTAATGAGACGAAGGGAAGACTTGTACACTCCCTTGGTGTCCCTGCAGATTCTACAATGCCCATCAGTGACATCCTTCATCTTATTGACAGCCACAGGACACGACAAAGAAACCAAACATTTTACCGCCAGCAATTTACTCGGGTAAATATATGGTTGAAAATATATCTGAAGCAGATGGCCGGAGATGCTGATCTCTGTAGACATTGTCTTGATGATCTTCTCTTAAATGGTATCATTGTAGATGTATGTGATCGTGATCTGGCCGAATGTATATAAGCCCATGATACTTCCGCATCTCTTCAGCAAGTAGTGGCAAACATGTGCCGAAGTCATGAAGCTCCCAACTCGTGCAGAACTTAACAAGCTCACAAAATATAGGGAACGCAAATCTCACCAAATAGGTGATGACAACACAAGAGGCCCAAAAAGACCAGTTTTGGTTGCGGTGACAAATCTCGCTGTTCTCAAGTAAAATGCCCAGCCAAGGGTATTGAATGTAGGAAATGTCACAAGACCAGTTTGCCAACATTTGTTAAGGTGGTAAGGGGTATGTCAAGAAAACAATTGACAAGACTCCAGGCAATCTAGGCTCCAAATTTGCTTGCACTAATAGGGTAAGATTGAACGTATCTCAGTATAAACTTATTGCCCTCCTTGCCCAAAGGTCCAGCTCCAAATTTCATCTAGTTCCATGAATGGACAACTCCCAGCCACACCTGACACAGGAGCTGAAATCACCACAATAGTATTTGAACACTTCCAACAACTTGGAGGATAACTTGATTTGGACCCATCTTCAGATACTCCTGCAACAAATGGATCTTCACTAAGTGCCATTGGGAAATTTGAAGCAAATGTCACTTATTCATGCATAAGTAAGGACTTATGGATCCGTGTCTTCAACAACTTCCCAAATGCATTACTTTCATGGCACCATGCATGAGATTTGGCTATTACTCCTCATGACCACCCTAGTCCCTGTCACGAGATCTCCCAGCATTTCAATCCACAATCAAAAAGGATCTTGCTCAACTCCTTAAGGACTTTGAAGATGTACCAATATGAACTACAAACCTTCAGAATGGCAGGCCGCTTCATGAAATGATCTATGACAATTCATCTAAAATCTAAAATGCACAACCCTTTGTTCTCTACACTGCCTGTGTTATTCCACTTACCTGGCGTGATGACATAAAGAAGGAAATTGATACTATGGTATCACAGAACATCATTGAACCTGTAGGAGATGAAGCTTGTGAATGGTGCCATCTCCTATTAGTCGTCACCAAACCAAAGGGTGGTGTTCGTTTGACAGTAGACGTGTCAAGACTCAAAAAAGTAGTACATACAGCACACCCATCTACTCCTTAAGATGCAGTTCGTCAGATAACTCGGGGAGCACGTTTTTTCTCCTCTTGATGAAACAATGGGTTACAGGCCAATCACTTTATCAGGCACTGATAATTACGTTGAATTAATTGATGATGTGTTAGTATGGGATACAGATTATGCCCAGCACCTACAACGACTTCATACATTCCTTGCTATATGTAGACAACATTGGATTACAATCAATGTTGATACATTCATCTTTGCTACACCTATATTACAATATTGCGGTTACAACTTGTCTCAGATTGGAATCATAGGAGACAGCAACAAAGCCATTACAGAGTTTCCCACATCGTGTAAACTATCAAATAACTGTTCTTTCATGGGTTTAGCAAATCTTTTAGGAGACTTCCCACCAGCCCTAACACACTACGACTCCTTCTAAGCCTTAGAAACGAGTTCATTTGGACCCCAGCACACCAAGAGTCCTTTGAACATGTTAAAAAAAAACACTGTCTCCTACTCAACCTCTTGCACACTTTGATCCCAACCGCCCCACAGCATTACACGGTGATGCATGACGTCTGTATGTATTGAATATGCTCTCCTTCAGGAACATAGAGATACGTGGCGTCTCATCCAGTGCAGATCACGTTTTCTTATGGATATTGAAAGTCGCTATGCCACTGTGGAGCTTGAACTAGTTGCTGAAGTAGGTGAAGTTATCCCTCAATGTTTACACCACAGACATGCTCAGACTGAACATCGACATCCAACAAGTCCCCAAATTCCTGAACCCTGGTTTTGGTCCAGTTGACCGATATTCCCAACGGCTTCGACTCCTCGTGCAGAGCATCAAGACCTCCAATGTCCTCTAAGGATCACTACATCATCGGCAAAGCCATGGTCTGTGACCCTGAAATTACCAATTGATGCCCCAAAGGAACTACGGTCCACGGCACGGCCAAGTATCCAGTCCATACAAATATTGGAAGGGGTTGGGGCCAGGACACATCCCTGCCTCACCCTGGCAGACACCAGAAAAAAAGACAGAGATCCCCCCCCCCCCCCACACACACACGCACATTTGACAACACTCTCGGTATCTGTATACAGGCCAGACAGCAAACCAATAATTCCAAGGGGGATCCCACGGAGACCCAGTAGGCTCCAGAGACTCACCCGGTGCACTTAGTCAAAAACCTTCTTGAGATCAGCATAAGCATACCTTGTTGAAACTCAAGTCGGCGTTCCACAAGGACGCGAAGTGCTAAGACACGGTCTACAGTTAACTGTTTGGGTGTAAACCCAAACTGCTCAGATCTCTATGCTCGTAAATGATGGTCGCGCACTCGAGCCAAGAGCAGATGAGTGAGGACCTTGCCTGGTACGCTGAACAATGTAATACCTCTGTAGTTGCCACAGCCCCTTTGGTCCCCTTTCCCTTTCCAGGGATGACCAAGCCCATTTTCCAGTCAGGAGGAATGTACCAATCTCCCAAACGGCAGAACTAACTGCATGCAAGCCACAGATCTTGGCTTCTCCACCCGCCTTCAACAACTCCGCAGCAATCCCACAGGCACCAGTGGCCTTTTCACCCTTCAGCCTAGAGACCTATGTGATATGTGAACATACAAATTATTAATATTATTATCTTCATCACAGCTACAATTAGTAACAAGTGTAATAGTAATATCATATCATTATCATCATTATTATCACCAATATTATCATTTTCATTATCACCATTGTTATCGTCATCGCCATCATCATTACTCTTAATACCATTATATTATATATACTATTATATATATATGTGTGTGTGTGTGTGTGTGTGTGTGTGTGTGTGTGTGTGTGTGTGTGTGTGTGTGTGTGTGTGTGTGTGTGTGTGTGTGTGTGTGTGTATAATATATATAATATACATATTATATATAACATTGTATACAGTAGTGCAGTAAATATACCCCTGCACTGTAATCGTACGTAAACGATATATGTGATTTTGTGCAGAAAGGAGTAGATTGTAGTTTGGTGCATATCAGAAATAATAGTTATGGTCCTACTAATAATGATAATTATAATAATTATAATAATAATAGCAACAGCAAAACCAAAAAAAAAGCAACAAAACAACAATAATACCACTGATAATGGTGATAATCATAAGAAAAAGAAACAATAATGATAATGATTTATTACGCACAAAAAAATCAAAACAAAATCATTATAAAAGTAAACAATATAGCAACAGGGAATTAGAAAGCGACTTCAAGGGTGAAAAGAAACTAAAAGATAAATAGATAAAAGATAAGGAAATAAGAGAGAGAGAGAAAAACGCAAAAAAATATATTTAATGATGATAATAAAACGATGAATGTTATCAATCAAATGAGAGAAAACATGATAATAAATAATACTTCTGATGATCATAAATCATCAAACACGTAAAGAATAAAATGAAAATGAATCATGAAAATATACTATCGATGCGATCAAATTATATCGTTATTCATCAGATGTATGATCATAATAAAAAATGATAGCGATGATAATGATTATAAAAACATTGATAATGATAGTGAAGATAATGTGATGATTCTAATCATAGTAATTATAAAGTAACATAGATAACAAGGGTAATTCATTGGGTAGTAACAATAGTATTTAAGTAGCAGTAGTAGTAATGATAGTAACAAATCTTATTTTCATTGTATTACCACTGTTACTACCATCATTATTATTATTATTAACGTCATTACCATTATCATTAATATAATTACCACCATCATCATCAATCATCACCATCATCAGAAAACAATGGGATAAAGTCACGTTTTCCTGAAGGTCGACCAGCCGTAAAAAAAAACAAGTGAGGTCAAGGAGATGATCTTAAACGGAGGGTGATGCTCCGTCGCTGCAAATCACCCTTGGAAATGCTTAAGTCTCTCTAACGGTTTGGGAGGTAATATAGCATTGGCGTTTTGGTCGGGTTGGTGCAGGGTTTGGCACAGTTATTGTGTTGTCATTTGTTGTTGCTGCTGTCGATGTTGTTGTTATTGTTGTCGTTGTTATTGTTGATGTTGTCGTCGTTGTTGTTATTGTTGTTGTTAATGATGTTTTGTAAAGAATGGAGGGAATTAGCTCTACTTTTTTTCTTTTCATTTTGTTGGTTGTGAATAGGTAGATATTGGGCTTATGTCAAATAACTTCTAACATTTTCGAAATTCAACTGTGATAAGATATTTTGAGTTATTCTTTCATCCGTGTTGAAGCTTAACGTGAGCAATAAAAGATAAACATCTTTATTAACATATAAAACCTCACTATTAAATTCTTATTGAATGATATTCATCTCTTTCGATAACCGGTTCACTGTTACGAGCTGACACAGCCTTGAAAACACAACACACACTTCTTTAAGGTTTCTCCAGTGAAGGATCTCTACTTACTGCTGTTGGCGAGGCAGGGCAAAACGGCGGCCAGGAGCAGCGGGAGACGCAGCAAAGAGCGAAGCAGAGGCATTGCAGCGATCAATATTCCAGTTGCAAGAGTCGGCGGCGTGTCCGGAGGGAACCCGCA